CCACTGGGAAGGGAGCTCACATCGCATGCCGGTTTGATGTGAGCTGGACTTCTAACCTCACCACCACTCCTGGCAACACAGCTCAGGAAACCCCCGTCATTTCAGATCCTATGCTGACAGGCTTTAAGTCCGTGCCTGAGACAGGACAATCTCTCCAAGCCTGACACACATCCCATCTGAGCTCTTCCTGTCCCTCCCTAGAGAGAGCTGTTAATAACAACCTCACATAACTACTAAAAGAAAAATTCACACCCCTGAAATTAGTTCAGACCAACCAAGTTGGTTAAACAAAACTCAGCCAATGGAGATTTTGGACACATGCTGCTGGCCCCCACTGTGGAGAGCAGAGGCATCAGACTTCTCTCTTGCTCACTGCCCTTGAGCCTCCATCATGAGATAGACCCAGCGTCTATCTCATGAATTCATTTCCATTCTAGAATTAGGATTCTAAGAACTTCCAGGCAGATCTGTTTGTGGGAAGCAAGCTAGAAGATTAGAGAAGTTCTACTGAATAAAAATGCCCCCAAATCTGTACCAAGAATGGTGGAGTTGTGAATATCAGGCCTCATTTTCAAAATCAAAACAAAACAAATTACACCCAAACTCACCATAAAAATCAAGCCCACAAACCCCAACAGACCTCAGATGGTAAGTGGGAATGAGCACAGCTAATGCTTGTACTCCTTGGCATGTGGGGTCTTGTGGGAAGGATGGCCCCTAAAAGCCAATTCCCTTTCTCCAGAAGGGTGTTTGCAGGCAGGTGCTGGTGGGGAGAAGACAGGTCAAGGAACATAACCCCCTCTCTGAGTCACATTCACCTATCATCCCAGGGTTAAAGAAGACGCCCAGGGATTGCCACCTGGAAATACGTCTCAGCAGGACCTGACTGAGGTAAATCCCACCATTCCCCTATGTGTAGTGCACATTCCCAGAACTAGAAAACCTTTCAAAAACCTCATTTACTTTCTTTGCCCAAATCGTCACTAAGAATGTGCCATTAGTGCTTTTGGCCAAAAAGTGCCTATTTTTCTGCTGAGTTTTGATCTCCTGAGATGGGAGGTGGGAGGAGCACTTAGCAGAGCCACTGCTTCTGATGAGGTAAAAGGGGAGGGAGGGCAGGAAGGTGAAGGCCACAAATCTGTTCAAACATTCACAGTATCAGATATATCTGAAGCAACTTCTTATGCTTTGATCTAAAGAAGCTCCAAAAAGAAAGAACAGGAGGGAAGAACAAAAAGCAATACTACATTCTTAGCAGAGGTCTCTACCTCACCAAAACCACCCTCCACAAAGGGGCAGAGACATTTTCTTGGCGTCTGTGGATTAGGGCCACCACGCCTGACATTCTGAGAACGTCAAGTCATTGGCTCTGAGAAAGGGCTTTTTTTTTAAGTTTCTGCCGTCATCCAAAGGGTATAAAACTAGGAGAGGAGCAGGGCAGACCCACTAAGCTGGCTTTGGGCCCAACACAGCTGACAGAGTCTTTGGAGAATTTCCTAAAGAATTCTGTGGACCCTGTCAGTATCTGGGTTGGAAATAAATGGGGAGAGGCTAGGTTGAAGGGGTTACAAATCACCCCATAAAAAACCAAAAAGCTCTTTAAAAACAGTCCATAGAGTGAAAAGTTGAACAATTTCTGATATCACGATATAGAAAAAGGTATTCAAAAGGATCAGTGATATCTAGAAGACTCTGTTGGTAGAAACTCCAAATAGAAAATGAAATTAATTTTCTGGTGGTTTAGATCATCTTGAAAGTCTGAAGTCTGATTATTGCAGGTTAGCTTCTTTATCATTTTGCTGGTTTTCTCTTGGATGGGAAATAGGCAGGGAGTCGGGGGTAAATAGTTCCTAGAGAAAAGAGAAGCAAAGTTTTTAAATCCTGCTTAGGAGTCTGTTACCCAGTCCCATTGCCAAGTTCTGTGGCTCCAAGTGACAATCAGGGCCTGAACAGTTTTACAGGATCTAGTCTTGCCTGCTAATTGATGGCTTCTTAAAATCATTTATAAACTACTTTTAGTCATCAATTTATTAGATCCCTGTCTCTCAAAAAAAAGCAGCTACCCTGCTTCCAACTCTCGAGTTTGCTCACAGAACTTAAGCCATTTCTTTCCTGTCCTCCTGTCCCCCGTTTCCCTGGCTCTCTTCTGTTGACAGTAGAGAGCAAAGCAGCAGAGAGAAGAGGGTGAAGGCAAGGTGGAGAAAAAGGGGGCTGCATGAAGATTCAGGAGGTGGGTCGGGTTACATCCTCCAACCCACCATGGCACTGCTAAGGGCAGGAGGACACAAGGAGACCTAGCTGCTTTAGTTGAAGCCAAATACTTAATAACCTCCTGTGTTGCCCTCATCAGTCTTTCCTCTGATTTCACGGTATCAAGCCCCAGGGTGAGTACTTTTGGGGGTGGGGAGAGGCTCCCAGAGGGGCCGGAGTTCCTGTCTGCTGTTCTCTGAGGCTGGGACAGTGAGCACCCTCCACCCCAGCAAGAATAGCCCCTACCTGAGCTCATTCCTCAGAGATTTCAGTCTCCTGATGAACAACCACCTTGGTCACTGACATGTCTGGGTGTTGCTCCTTTGCTTCCTTGATAGCCTGTACAAGAACCTGAAAAAGACAGAAAGGACACCCATCAGGCAGAAAGCAGCCTGGTTATGAAGGAAGGCAGGGGTCATAAGATACCATTTCTCTGGCAAATTCAATCCTATCTGCAGTACCAGGGCAGCATTTAGGCTAAGCCAAGCTGATAATGACCTTGTCCACTCTATCCTGAATAGGGAGGCTCCTGGGCTGAAAAGAGAGACAGGAAAGGTTAGAGCTGTCGTCAAGGAATCAGTGAAGGACTTCAGGGGTGATGGCTGCACCTCGGTGGGTCTGGGAGGATTCACTCATAAGTGAGTCTAAAGGACAAAGCAAAATTTGTGCTCAGCATAGGGTAACCAGGAAGTTCAGAACAGAGGAGGAAAATAAAGAAGCGTGCTACAAAAAGGAAAAGATGTTTCTGGCTAAAGTAGGGAGAAGAAAAGAAGGAAGCGTGGAAGGGCCTATTATATGTCACACACTGGCCTAACCACAGTACTTATTATTATATATTTAATCTCCAATGAATGAGGGTAGTATTGTTATTTCCATTTTATAGACAAGGAAACTGAGGTTCCGTGGTTAAATAAAGTGCTTAATGTTTCACAGCTAGTAAGTAATGCAACAAGGGTTTTAACTTCAGTCCATCGGACTTTCTTTCCTCTTTATCATACTGTCTTTCAGGGTTTTTTGTTTGTTTGTTTGTTTTTGTGGAGGGGAACTCTGTTTTAGCACCTGGAGGAGTTTTGATCATTTCTGAAAAGCTAGAGAAGGCAAAGGGAAAGATCGGCAATGCCACTATTCCCTGTGGGCTGCAAGTCTCTGAGACTAGCTTGGAGTACCCCGAGGTATAAGAGCCCGACATAGCCTTTGGAGGCATGGGGATTCTTAGGGACAGGGCCCCCTATCAGAAAGGACTCTAGTTCGATCTGACCAGCTGATTGTTGACCCTGGCTCTTATAAACTACCTCTAGGAGGGACACGGAGGGACAGGAGAAGAAGTGAAACCTTTTTAGGTCTCAACTCCATGAAAGCCATTCTTGGAATCACCACCTCTCATCCTCACTGACCCTTTTTGTCTGACTCATCTGCTCATGCTTCAAGGCCCAGCCCAAGCCCTCTCTTTGGTTACTCTGGCCTTCACCAGTCTCTCTGTGAAAGCTTGCATCACATTACTCCTGAATAGTCTTTCTTAGAGTGCTTCCCTCCCCGCATCCAGAGTGCACCATATCTTATCCCTTCCGCGTATTCCTCAGTACCTAGAACCGTGAGGCTCACTGGAGCATCTCTCTGAGCTAGCAAGTGTGCTTGTCTCTTTGTCATAACAACCCTGAAAGAAACCTATGATTATCTTTATTTTAAAGATGGTGAAACTATATCTGAGAGTAGTAAGAAAACTAGTTCAAAGGCATACAGCCAGTACACTGTAGAGTCAGGATTCAACCCAGGTCTGTCTCACTCCAAACCCAAAACACCTTCCCATCCCACTGCTCTTGCTGTC